GGTCCCCCTTTTTACTCTTTTTAAAAATGGCTGCAATATTTCCCTTTTTCCAGTCCCCGGGGACTTCACCTGACTGCCATGACTTTTCAAATATCATGGAGAGTGGCTTGGCAACTACATCAGCCAATTCCCTCAGGACTCTGGGATGATATTATTTCTCTTACATGGTTTTTAGGATTCACAGGCATCTTCTTGGGTTAACCACATCATGAAACTACCTTCTCAGTCCTTCTGTGCTCATGCCTTTCATTTAATTTCACTGATATGATACCAAGTTCCCCTGCCTGGACAGCTGAAAGAACATCATAGGGAAGGACTATTTCAGTGTCTAAGGATAGTTCTGTCCTCTGGCTACCTTCATGCACTAAAAGAAAGGAAAACATTGACAAGCTAGAAATGGCTCTAGTATGATTCCTTCAATGGTGCTGCTATAGAGACTCTGAATATGATTAGTATAAGCAATATAGACAGCATCACCATTCTTTTTAGTTGAGTTCACTTAAGAAATGGTAAAGAAAATCAAGAATAAAAATACCTAATTCATTTATTAACTCAGCTGAGTCAGTGAATACCCAGTGATTGCCAACCTGCATTAAAGTTTATATGTCATTCAAGTGCTCAAATATTGTTTTGCTTGGCAGGCAAGGGACTAAGTAAACAGGATTTCCCTGAAGGTAGCAAGGAATGATGATGCAACATGGTTATTTATTAGCTTTGGTTTTACTGTCAGGGAGATGGGCAAATAATCTCCTAATGCTTAGAATTTAAATGGGTCAAACTATTTGCACTGCTTAGTCTCTGCCCAACTTCTTTATAAGTTCCTAGAGATAAGCTTCTCAATAAACATTATCATTTTCAGTAGTCCTTTATCCTCCTTTGGTACTTTGTGCCAGTTTAAGCACTTTTGAAAATCAAGCCATTCATTTAGGTTTTGCAGTAAAGCTACTCAGAACCATTTCTTTGCAGAAGATATTCCTCATTTAAACTCAAAGCTTTCACAGAGATCTACCAATCTACTTGCACAGAGATCTACCAATTTGGATTGAGTTTTTTCCTGAAACGTCCCATGTTGACTATCTAGTCACTGCAAGTGCAATATCTAAATATACATCTGACATTTTAAATCCAAATCCAAATATTTTGACATAGTATGCTGTCATAGGTTTTGGGTTTTACAGTATAAAATGAAATTAAATTTCATAATCTTGGAAGGCAGTAAATGGATGGTTGTCCTCTGGACAGATTTATTTACATCCCCAGCTTAAATTGGTTATTGGAAAAACATATAAAAAAGCCCTTGTTCTCAGCTGTTATTAAAAAAATAACAATTTAAAACTACCTAGTCTTCTTAAAAAACACCTTTACTGGGAAAAAATAAATACTGAGGGTGAGATGTTGGACCCACTGATGGAATCTGCTTTCCATTTGACTACGAGAAACTAATTTTGATAGTGGTGCATACCAGTCTTACTTTCACAATGTCCGTCAGACACAGGTATTGCATCTATACTTGTAGTCACTCTCCCAACTTTCCTCTGCAA